CATCATGCTCACAGCAACCTCCAACTCCTGGGCTCAAGTGAGTCTCCTGCCTCAGCCTCCCAAGTAGCTGGGACTACAGGCGCCCGCCACAACACCTGGCCATTTTTTTTTTTGGTTGCAGCCATCATTGTTGCTTGGTGGGCCCGGGCTGGGGATTCGAACCCTCCACCTTAGGTGTATGTGGCTGGCGCCTTAGCCGCTTGAGCCACAGGCGCTGAGCCTGCTCAGGCCGGTCTTTTGGTCTCCAACTCCTGAACTCAAGAGATCTTCCTGCCTCTGCCTCTCAGAGTGCTGGCTGCAGGTGGGAGCCAGCTAGTCCTGCCTTCTCTGCCTTTGTTTTATAAGGGTACATGTGATTGCACTTAGGGTCCATCTTGATAATCCAGAGTAATCTCCCCCAACTCAAAACCCTTAATTTAATCACATCTGCAAAGACCCTGTTTAAACATAAATTAACATTTAGAGGTTCCAGGGAGTAGAGTCTGGTATCTTTCCAGAGGGATCATTTTTCAGCCCTCCAAAGGGCGATAGTTCCTGCCCTGTCCTCTTAAAGCATGGTCCTAAACCTTTCACTTTGCACCACTGAAATAGCCTTTGACCCTTCCAGCTTCTCATACAAAACAATCCGCCTTGTTTTAAAAACCTTTCCTCTCTTCGTCTCCTGGAAGGGACAGTGGCTTCCAAAGGCACCTGAGTAAGGTTTTGTTAAGATCTCATTATTAAAACGCTGTTTTGGAGGCTTCTTCCCAAGGTTTTAATTAAGTTGAGGATGCATTCTAGCGCTGTTTCCCAAACTTACATACTCCAGGCACCTCTATACTGTTTTCGAAGTGCCCCAGGGGATTCTTATCATCAGAGAAAAATTAGGAACACTCATTCCTTCTACAAAGTCTGGAACAGCAGTATGGGATTCCCCTTCCTGACTGCTGAGTGTGTCATAAGTTACACGACTGAAGTTTTATTAAACGGGGCAAGGAAAAAGGGCAACCCTGAAAACGAAACAATCCTATCTGTACAGTATTTTACTGAGAGAGTTTCCTAGGACAGAAACTTCCAAATCCGAATTAAACAGAAGACGACAACGTGCCCGATTTGGCAGTCCGGCAGCTGTCATTAGCTCAGGACCTTGTGGGTCTGACCGCTCCAGCTCGGGCCGTGCCTTGAACGGGAGCCAAGGCCTTTCCGGAGTGAGAGCAGCCCCAGCGAGGGGGAGGGTGGTGGCGGTGGGGCCGCTGCAGCCCCGGTGCGGGTGTCCACCGGCATTGGGGTGGGTCAGGGAGTGGCTTTCAACGCCACCCATGACAGCAGTAGCCACTCCAGAGTGGCGCGCATAGGAGGCGTGGGGAGATGCAGGAATATTTATTCTGCTCCGACAGCGGAGTGCTGGGGCTGCTCCAAGCTACCAAAGGAGCTGTCCTGAGTCGAGGCACGCTGGTTCTTCGCAGAGGGCTAAGAATCCAGTGTCCGTGGCTGGCCAGGTGGGGATGGTCATTGTGCGGTGACGCGACGCTCAAAAAAAAAAAAAAAATTGCGGGAGTGTGCAAGTTCCTTTGGGGATGATGGGATGCAGAGTCTACCTCAGGGGATGGGGTGTTGGGGCGCAGGGTCACTCTGAGCCGAGAAGTTATGGGCACGCTCGGCCGGAGGCGATGGGGTACAGAGTTACCAGGGCATGACAGAGGCTCAGTACCAGGCTCGGCCGGGGGTGATGGCGTCCCAGGCGCGGGTTCTGTTAGGCCGGGTGTGCGCCCGCCAGGGGCAGGCACCTGCAGCTGCAGCCCGGGGCACCGGCTGGGGACCTGCCCCGCGTTGCGTGAGCAGGGGCGCTGTTCCTGCGCTGGGCAGCGAGTGGCGCTGATCCTCCGTGTCCACAGCTCGCCGCCAGCCCGGGGCAGCGGGAGGGGCCGGGCCAGGCCACCGCCTCCTCCGGCCGCAGGCTCCTCCTCTCCCTCCGCCCCCTCGCTGTCGCCGGCCCTCCGTCCCACCCAATCCACAGTCCCCGGCCCAGCAAAGCCGGGCCGCTTGTCTGGCCGGCGGAGGCTGAGCGCGACCCTAGCCAGCCGCGGCGCCCGCCGACTAGGGGCAAGCGCGACTCCTGGGACCCCGCTCCGCCTCGCGCCCCCTCCTACTCCCCTATTGTCGCGGGGACGCTCGGGCCCGAGCCGCCAGGGCGGCGATTCTCCACCTCTTCCTCCCGCGGGGGAAGGAGCAGAGAAAGGCGAGCGGCGGCTCCGGGAGAGAGCGAGCCGAGGCCCCTGCTCCCCGGGCTCGGGGCTGGAGGAAGAGGCAGAGGCGGAGGGAAGTGCGCGTCACTCCCGGGAGGAGAGTATTTTTCCTCCGGGCAGAAGCTGCGCCTGCCAGTTACGAACGAGCGGCAGCAGCGGCGGTGGCGGAGGGCTCCAGGGGCTCCCTGGCCATGGAGAGAAGATCAGGACCCGAGGACTCCAGGAGCCCCGCTCCCTCCCTGTGGACCGCTGTGTAGGCACCTGAGTTAACCGACGCCAAGCGGGGGAGGGGAAGGTAAGGAGCCGAGAGTCACCCGCCCCCTGCCCCGCCTACTCCGCTGTGCCGGAGGCCACGGCCAAGGCGCGGACCGGGTCCCGCACACCTTCCCCGCTCCCGGCGGCCTGGCCCGTTCCGCCGTGGGGCATTTCTGCTGAAATGGAAGACGTCCTCGTGCCCTCCCCGCTGCGCCTCCTTTCCACGTCTCCTCTGGATTAGCAGTAACCAGACTCCTCCGGAGTCAGTCCTCTCCCCAACTGGTCCTTGGGAACCCTGTGTTGATTTCTTCTGCCACTCTCTTTTCTTTACCATTACAGGGAAGGGAACAATGGACCTTTCAAGGACGCAGTGAACAGCCTTAAACTTTTTGGAGTGGGCTGGGTGGGATAATAAACCCCGCGGGAAGCCGACTGTAGTGAGTGGTTGATGGAGTGTGCACTGCCGTCTCGGCTTCGGGGTGCGCGCGCTTACGCCTTTGGGGTAATCTTTGTCTGCTTACTCGCCCTCCGAGTTGCTGAGCCCCCGTCTCCCACCCCTCTTTTGTTAGTTAATGTGAGGCGAAGCTTTAAGTTCCCGTGCAGCTTTCCTTAAAGCTGGGAGTAGACTTAGTACCGAGCCCCATTCCCAGCTTTTCTCTGCAGAGTTTGGAGGTCCTGGCAGGAGGCGGCGGCCCCCTCCAAAGAGCCGCAGTTAACGCTAGTTACTACACCCTTAGCAAAAAACCAAGGTCCTGACTTCTCTGGATGCTTTTTGCTGAGGGTTGATGTGTGTCACCAGACCTCTCCCTGAAGCGGAAACAGCTCACTTAAATTCTCCACATAAGGTTAGGAAAACAGACTTTGATATATGTCTCCTTTCATCAGCAGCTGGGGTTAAGGATGGAGTGCCTAATAATTTTAAGAACTTTCATTACCCCCATGAGCCATTCACAGCCTTGGGTTCACTCCCCTGGTTCCTGTGTGACAACACGATGCTCAGTCACACACGCCCAGGGTGTGGATGTCCTCTGCCAAGCTCTAACAAGTGAAGAGTGAGAATTTAGACATGGGGGGTGGGGAGTGCCTTCACCTGAGCCGGAGGGGGCAGCCAGACAAATCTGTTGGAAATGGTTCTGTGTTAAAAACAAGCACATTTAAAATAGTCTTAAAGTTCGTTGGTTGGCTGGAACAGAATTATTAATGTGTATTTGACTGCTGAAGGAAGCTTGCTGGTTTCAGAATCCGTCTGGGTGTCATACTCTGGAGGTGTATCCTTGATTACCTAATCAGAGGGTTCTTTTTTGCCTGGATTTCTTTAAAGAAAATTTTTTTGATATCCATTTTTTTGTAGAGATGAGGTGTCCCTATGTTGCCTAGGCTGGTCCCAACTCCTAGCCTCATGTGGTCCTCCTGCTTTAGTCTTCCAAAGCGCTGGGATTACCTCAGTTTGCATTTCTGAGAAAAACAGGAATGTGCTGAGGGCACTGGGTAGCACTTCAGGGCGCTTTGTTCTTTCCATTGGAATGACACCCCCAAAGCTTTCTGTGTTCCCTCACGAGAGCATCAGTCTGGTGAGTGTAGCTGGAGGTCTGTCTACTGGCTTTCAGTTCAGTCCACCTGATACCGTTTATCTGGTGGATATGTCCTTAAAAGCTCACAAAACTAAGGTGAGAAGTGAATTCTGAGTCACCACCTGTTGTACTTTGTCATCCTGTGAATGAGAAAGTAAGCTGAGGACTGGCCCTTGTGTGGACAGGGAAGTAGAGACTATAATTCTTCCACGGTGCTCGTGTGGATGTCCTGTGTCATGGTTTGAGTAATCTCCTTCTTTGCTCTAGCCTGCCATCTGTGAATTTTCAAAAGGGTCAGATTCATAGCAGGAAATCAGAATAGGGCAACACCTCAGTCGTGTTGTGATGGAGCTCATCTAGCTTATACTCAAACGGCTGCCTAGAAAATGAACAGAAGACAGACAAAGGGCCCTTTCTGAAGTGGAGAAGGTACTACTGACTAGGTACATGCCTCTGTGCAAGTTTCTGAAATTGAGAAAGATAAACTACATTTCAGAAAGAGAAAACTTAATAATCACTATCAAAGTCACAGTTTTAGACTTGCATGAAAGTCTGGGAATGTGCACGTTGTAAAGTCCTCTAGGATATTTGAGTAGTGCATCATCCACCCACCCACTATCTGTTCAACGAACACTTTTTAATCACTTACTGTATTCTAGACCTCCCAGGAAGCTGGTAGGAAGAGGGAGTTACATGGAGTGGTTGCGGCTGGGGAGACCACAGGGCATGGAAGATACCTACGTGGTGGTTTTCATCTAAAAAGAGTAAGACACAGTTTCTGCTATTAAAGAAAGAGTCTGACCTGGGACACAGGAAATTAACAATGAGAAAGTCCAGTAAGTGGGAGAATTATGGGTAGGATGCTTTAGGGAGCCAGAGGAGGAACAGGCCAGTGGGGGGAGGGGTCACGCAGGCAATTTTGTGAGAAATGCAGTTAATGAACTCAGACAAAATAGTAGGGACCGAAACTGGTCCGAGGTACCGTTTAAAATGCAAAGATTGGAAGACTTGAAGTCAGATTTGGGTTTAAAACAAGGCTCTGACCATTGTTGAACATTTGCATATCATTTCTTCATCTGTAAAATGAATTAGCAATGGTTTATGGAATGTTCTGAGGATTATATTTGATTAACTTTGCCATATATATAATATATAATGTAATTTATAAGCATCTAGTGTCTATCTCAAAAGATACTTTCAAAGTATATATATATGTGTTATTTTAAAAAGCTACAAACAGTTCGATACAGATCACAGCTTCATCAGATTGGTCTAAGCCACACATTTTCATTTTGTTGGCTTTTTCCAGAATGCTCTGAATCCTGTCTTGAGAGTGAGTTCGTTAGAGTTTAGGCTAGCTATTGTCAGAGGGCATTCCTTACTTGTCCAGGCTTCTCCCTATCCCAGCCACAAGAAATCTTTTCATTTCATTTGAGTTGTGAGCATTCATTAGAAGAATGGGCTGTCTAGTACAGTAGGCCAATTGAGAGGGGTTTGTCTGGATTCGTGTTGTAGCATCTGTACTCTGTCTTCCCAAGCCAAACTGGCCCTTCTACATTCCTCTCTCCCAACGCGATGAATATGGAAAAGGAAAAAAAGAAAGGCTACAGACCATGAAAATCACCCTCACTGGTTTTCAGCATTTGTAAAGAGGTATAATTTTCAACTAGATTGTAAGAAAGTCCATTCTCAATAGCAGCAGCTGTTGTCTAGGTGAAACTTGAATCTGTAAGCAATACTTGCTTTGGTTTTCCTTGAAGTGGACTTAAGCTCATGTGACATTTTAATAAATTGCCTTTGCTAGAAATTCAAACTCAGATATTTAAATCAATCAAGTTAAATGTGTCTATTTTTGAGGGGAGGGGATCTGAATAGAAACCAGTTTTCTAGCCAGTGCTACATATGTTAAATCTTAGCATGCAGTTTAAAGGGACCTTAAAAATAATATGAAAACAAAGAAGTTGGTGCCCAGAGAGGCTCAGTAATCAGGTGAGGTCATATAGTAAATTAATGGCTGAGTAGGGACAAAAACTCTTTTGTCCCAATTTCTAGTTGGTGCTTCCTCCCCTCCCCCCAACATATTCTTATTTATTCCTATTTGGCTTTGTTAATAGTCTAGTTATTTTAATGGTCAAGTAGTTGCCATTTGGGCTTCAGAACTCATTACGCTTAAGTTTAAGACAGACATTGCACCTTTTTCATTTCCTAGTTACTTACACATGGTAGTGGGCTGATGTTCCTTGTAATAAATTTCTGTCAAATAAGGAACTGAGTATAAAAATAACATTAGCTAAACTTGCATTTTCTATAACCAGGATGCAAATTTAAAGTACTGTGGAAGTGTGCGTTTTTTAAAAGAGCCAAGTTCCTAGAAACACCATTCAGATTTGTATTGTGAATCATAGGATAAAAATATACTAGAAATATGTTTGTACGTTCTTTTGTTTTCCCAGCACACACGTTAGGGACCCTTTAATGTTGGCTGTCAGGAACTATGTTCAGCAAATATTTTATTGCATTCCTAGGATGTCCAAGGCACTGTGCTGGTTGCTGTGAGCAATGCAAAGAGAAATAAAGCATAGGGTCTTTATTAAAATGACTTTTTAAAAAAGTGAAACAGACTCAGAAGCTGAGCATGTCTTAAAACACAGTATTATTATCTCCCAACAAATCAGTCCTTTGATCTATCAGGCAAATCTGCTTTGAAATTGTTATTATTAGATTAACCTTTTAACCAGATAGGGAACAATACATTTGCTTTTGTTACATGGTGATTAGTGATAAACCTTTTACATTTATCGGGAGTCCGTCTTATTTTGAACACTAAGTAAAAGTTCAGTATTTGATAAGAATTTTATATTATGAAAAGATTGTCTAGGAGAGATTGTAGCCTTCTTAGCTTTCATATATTTTAAAAAATGGCTCTACCACTGGATAGAAGTGGGATTAGTACATTGTTGCCTGAAAGATTTGAAATTTAAGACGATCAGTATTGAGCCAGGGAGAAAACAATTGACCTCATTGACTCTGAGTTTCATGTAAGTATCTTTAATATAGAATATTCGCAACACACTTGCTGTCCTGGCCAGGTCTGATTACTAAGTCTTGCTGCAAAGTGAAATCCTTATGGATGTAGGGGTTCTTACCTAATTATTGGCTTGCACTTTGGAGGCTGTATGCCTTCGATTGTCATAATGCTAATATGGTGACTCACTTCCTTGAAGAATGGCTAGTTTTTCCACATAAAGTTAAGTTGGAAAGTTAATTAGCATTTTAGGGATTGGAAACATTTAGTTTTGCATAAGGACACAAATGCCTGATTCCTGTTTCAGAAGGAATGAGAAAAATGAGTTATTGTTGTTGTTGTTTTTTAAAAGATTGTAGTTAAGAAAAAAAACTCATTGTTTTTTAATACTGCCAGTGCTACCACTATAAAAATTAACTTTATATGGAGGTTAAAAATATATCG